GGGTTTTGTCGAGGTCTTTGGAGAAAAGGGGATCGGACAGTCCGTTTGCCTCCCATCTCGGCACCGCCCATGTTCATTTTCAGGTAAGTATAACAATGTTTATATCGGTTTATTCATGCTCCGAAGAGCTATGCCAAGAAACGCATAGACGAAGCACTCAAGTCATTCAGTCTTTCACTGAATGTCTTAAAAATCGGCACACGGCTGTTCAAACGAAACGCAATGCACGAGTGTCATTCACTAAGGTCCTACCAACAAGGATCACTTGTTAGCTCGATGAGATTGGGACACTGTATGCTCTTACCTGAAGCCACTATTCTTCTCCAGTATAAACATGCCATCTTTGCTAGTGGTATGCTGAATAACTTCAAGCGGTATGATTGGTGCCTGTAACAATGAGCACGAGCATTTGTAAAACACAACACATTTTGGTTGCCTTTTGACTGTACCAAACAGGTGGAGAAACATACATTAAGCCGCGCGTATAGGAAACCAGACGTACGGAGTTCGATTCGCTGCCTGGTCCAGCCTTCCTGCCAGGGCAGACGCCATAAACTGGGAAGAGAAGGCTGACCACTGAATTGGGATTGCCGACATCACAAGTCAGTGGGGAGCTAAAGTCGTCCACCGGTAACGTCAAGATTTCAAAAGATCAATCACACAAGACCCGTCAACCCTGTTCACGTGTCTGTTCACACATAAAATGCATGAATACAATATCATCAAGTCTGTTTACCAGAAATATATCAGTTCCTGGAATGCCACCTTTTGGCCGCCATGCTTTCTTCCATGAAGTGAATGCCACTTTCCATCACAAGCTAGCATTACATCACTTGGTCAAGGGAATGGTATTAGAAGGGATCACTTTATTCATCGCAGGTCTCAAAATCGCAAGAGCAAATGATACAGATTAAGAGCAATGGCAAATGAACGTCTTTCTTAAAGATGAGTAGGGGACTGTAATAAAATGATGAGACGAATCCCACATTGCTTTTTATTTTTATGTCATAATTCTGCATCGTTTGCACGGGTGGCTTTGGGTTCAGAGTACTTGCTAAGTATTGCTTGTCGCGTATACCCTGAACCCACCACCAAAATAGCGTCATGTTTGTTTTCATGCCAATCAGACCCACTGACCCTAGTGTTTAAGGCCAGTACACCGGTTATGTCATAACAGTAACACCTGACCAGCCCGAACGAAAGCCAGAAGCTTACTTAGTATGAAACAGAAGGTGTTTTAAAATGTTTTACTCGATCAACCCGCGCGCTTGCGTATGAAACAGAAGGCGTTTCAAAATGTTTTACTCGATCAACCCGCGCGCTTGCTAAGCAGTCTAGGCCGTTTGTCTTACAATTTTGTAAATTGACATGCGGAAAGAATGACCATTCAAAGCATCAAGAATTATTAGCAAGGTGGTGAAATATTTGCATCTGTCTGTCGAATTTTTATAACTGCTAATGCGTGCTAAGGATGAACCAAAAACACCCAAGATTAAATGTATATCATTCTTCAACTTTTGAACAGCACACCGGAACCGACGTTCAAAGGCCCGTTTGGAGGGTATAAGGGTCTACAGGACTGACTGTAAGTCACGTAAAGAATCGCGGCCCGCAGGGTCCTGACTTGAAATACTACTCAGAGGTCCCCTTGCACCGTTTTAGGATCACCCCTCCCCCCCCCCCCCCCTGAGACAATCGGCTCGAGACCACGAACACCGAACAGTCGGCTCCATGCCCGTCTGAGCCCTTGAGACCCATTTCTCAAGCAGAAACAAGGCCGGGGCTCGCGATTTGTAATGTTTGGGGTCCCTGATACAATGGCGGGCTTCTGTGTCGGTAAGGGGCCACCGTGTCGAACTCTGGAGGCACGTGGCCCCGAGTCAGAGCGATTTTGAGGGGGCCCAAAGAGGGGCCCAAGGGTCTCTCGAGACCAAATATGGACAAAAGACTTATATAAGAGACCAAATACTAATATAAGGTTAGAAGAGTCCGAAGGGCTGGCTGTAGGTCACATTAAGGACCCCCGCTCGTAGGGTCGTGATCTCAAATGTCAGTAAGGTGATCTTTAGCACCGATGGGGACCCCTGAGACAGAAAATTCCTCTATTTCGGTCAGAGATCGTGAACAACGAACAGTCAGCTCCGTGTTGGTCTGAGCTCGATAAGAAAAACATGTCTTCAATAACAAATGGGTCATATGAGGCGATTTGGGGGGGGGGGGGTTTACTATCAGGGTGTCCTATGTCAATCCTGTGCCCCTCCCCCTTACGAAACCCCTGGCTGCGCCCCCTGCTGCTCTCTATTGGTCAAAAGGTACACGTTAAGCTTTCAGTTTGTGATTTATCTTACAGAGTGTACATACTTTCGTCTTATTTTGCTACTTCCTTTGCAGGCTACGCCCTTCATTTAGCTGCTCCCCAGCACTACCACAAATCACTACAGGCCACAAATTAGGGTAGGTTAAACTATGTTTTGCCTGAAATTGAGAACATAGAGGGTGGAAAGCATATGCAATACGCACATTTTCAATAGATTAATGAGTTGGGCCAGGTACCTAGTATATACTGTGTTATCCCATGGAAACTGAAGTAGAAACAAAAGAATTGCACCTCCAGGTTACAAAGGACTACTACATCAAGCAGCTGTGGAAGGGCCCAAGGAATGCATTGGTCGAAAAGTTGAGTTTTGATGTTTTATTAACTGACAAATCATTCTGACAGGTGGTGTGAGCAGGCAGGAAAAGCTATTTGCTCCTCATGACATCAAGGGTCACAAGCAGATCAGTCTGCAGATCACTATGCTTTTATGGCCATGCTGGGCAAAGTTGCATTCATTCTATAGTGATCAAGCACGCATTAATTGCAGTTTCCAAAAAGCGGGGCTGTTCACATCTCGTGTGTTGATCTGTTGGTTGAAGGGCTTTAAGGTTTCCTGCCATCACTACTCGATATCAGGGTTCATGTTTCCTATTCCGTTTGGGAAGGGGGGGGGGGTTCTAGCCCCCCCCCCCCGAAACCTGGCTACAGCTGTCAACTACGAAAGGAAATGGCGCCAAGTTCAGAGAGGAATTGGTTTGTCGATGATCTTTGGGCTAGGCTTCATCATTTCACAAGTTTTGGCAACCCCCCCCCCCCCCTACTCACTTTATGTACCTACACCCCCACTCAGTGCATGCAGGTGCAGAATGGTGCACCCCATTGAGGGGCAAATAGGAACATGAGGTGAAAGGCACGCTGATCCCCTCCCCCCTCCCCCCCCCCCCCCACCCTCCCGTCGACAATTACAGGGGATACAACGCTAAGATGGCCACGCAACCACCAAGTTGGAAGAATTTGCATTGCCCCACATAACGCTGCGCACCTAAATACGAGTAACCTCATACACCCAGTCAGGGGTGCGTGAGAACAGATACAGTAGAAGGCACGCTTGCCCCTTCCTTCCTCATATCTACAGAGGTTGCAACGGTAAAACTGCCGCACCGCCATCAAGTTGAAAGAATTTCCCCTGTCCCTGACACTGCGGTGCACCCGAGTACGAGAAACTTCATGCACTTAAAAAACAGAGCCTCCAGTACAGAACATCATGCAGTTATCAGTACTCACCATATCGTGACAGCCCACAGGAACAGCACTAAGTACCACGCAGTTATATCTCACGTCCCTCGATCGCGCGACGCCACACCAACCGAGCGACGCGACACCTCCACGGCATTCCAACTCGCGGCCAAGGTCTGCCATAACAATCAGTAGTGATGGGTACTACGTATGTGCCCTGCCAAACCACATGATTGTTAATGTTTGGTCATTATTAAACGTCTTAAGACATATAAGAATAACTGTTGTTTATCACCTAGTTACTTCAGTCAATTCTGTGGTGTGAAATCAACACTACATGGGGCGTTCATGGTGACAACAAGATCAGCACACCTCTACTCAAAGATGACGTCACACATTTCAGTCGAAAGGCGAGAAACTTTTCCGGCGGATTTGTGTAAGTCGACCTAAGTCACGTGACCATGGAACATACACTTGACGGACAAAACCTACCATGTAGGGACCTCTAAGGGATTGATACCAGACCAATATGTGGACGAAATTAGCGTTTTCCAATGGTTTGCAAAATGAGGACCGATTTTCGGCCCCCACCTTGAAAACGGTCCTCACCTTGCGTGAGTGTAGCGGACTTCGGTCCCCACTTAGGAGGGTTTACAAGCACACACACACACACACACGCACGCACGCACGCACGCACGCACGCACGCACGCACGCACGCACGCACACACACAAATGCCATATATATATATATTTATATATATATATATATATATATATATATATAATGATATTGCTGGTCCATGTAGCATCATTACAACATTATATGATAACATAATCACATAGCATTTTGTCATTGTGGTGGGTTTAATCATAATTGAAGTGTTTTAGTTGGTGGCTGCAGTTACATGATTGGCTTTCTGATGAATATGTCCGCAATATGTATAGTGAGGTAGAGGTCCTGGGTTCATCTGGTTCTTTCAATGCCACTGAGGAATGTCCTATATCTTGGGTCAAGAATCCAGATTTGTTTTGGGAATCAATGGCAGGCATCTCATATAGGATAAGTGCTACACACTGATCTATAACCAATCATTGGGTACATAATGTGGTTAAAAATATTTTTGGTTCAGATATGGATTCATCTCAATGCTGGATTATGAGACAAGATGGATTCACAATTGATTCCAAATCAAGTAGTTCGGCAATTATTTCAATGACAATTTAACTAAATCAGTGCAATTGTCTAGTCATGTTTGCTTCTTCATCAAATCGAGCAGAAGTGTCCTTGTAAGTGACAAATTATGCAAGTGGCCTAGGTTCATACGCTTTCTCAAATGCATCGCGATAATTTTGAGAAATGCTCCCCAAATGTGGAGCATTTGTTGGCGCCGTGTGGCGTCGCCCGGCGGCCGCCGTCACGCTTCTGATTATGGCGGCCTCCGCCAGGTGGCCATGGCATGCGACCTACAGAAGCCGCTGTTCGTGCATGAGCGCGAAGCACACAGCGAGCTGGTGTCGGTGCTGGAGGCGTTCGGGAAGCGGCTGCCACCCACCGTCATCCACTGCTTCACGGGCAGTGCAGAGCATGCCACCAAGTACCTGCAGATGGGCTTCTACATCGGCCTCACGGGTTAGCCTCCGGCAGGGGTGGTCTGGGTCGGCGCAGGGGGAGAATCGGGGGTGCTGTAAATGCTAGATGTGCCTGCCATCACAGTCGGCACCATATCCCTCGACGTGAATAACTGCTGCGTTCGGCACCAAATGACATGCTTATCACAAATAAAGTGTTGTGTCATACCCGGATGGCAGCGAGCCCCTGACACAGCGCGGTCCGCAGGGTACGTATGGAAGGACAAGTCAGAGGATGGCGTGCGCCGCATGCTGGAGGACCAGACGATCCCGCTGGACCGGCTGCTGCTCGAGACAGACTCGCCCTTCATGTACCCCAACGTGCGCGCCGCCAAAGTGGCCCAGCATGTCAAGGACAAGCTGTCCGAGCGGTGAGCAGGGTTATGGAGTGGACGGCAGCAGTGAGTCTGGTCACGGAGAGCGGGAAGCAGAGGTGTGTGGCCACAGAGCAGGTGGCAGCGGTGGTGAGTCTAGTCACGGAGGGCGGGCAGCAGAGGTATGTGGTCAAGGAGCAGGCGGCAGCGGTGGTGAGTCTGGTCACGGAGCGGGCAGTAGAGGGGAGTGCTCACGGAGCGGACAGAAGAGGTGAATCTGGTCATGGAACGGGCAGCGGTGGTGAGTCTGGTCACGGAGCGGGCAACAGAGGCGTGTGGTCAAGGAGCGGGCAGCGGTGGTGAATCTGGTCACGGAGCGGGCAGCAGCGGTGAGTCTGGCCACGGAGCGTGCAGCAGAGGTGAGTGAGCGGGCAACTGTGCTCAGGCGGATGGCTCCCGGGATTGATCGGTGCGCGCAGGGCAGGCCATATGGAATTGAGCGATCACTGGTGTGGAATTCGGCAGTGTTGGGTCAAGGACACCATTGTCTGTCCCTTTCTACTTTCCAGCTAGGACAACACCTCGGATGTCTCCCGCTTTTCTGGATGTCGTAAAAAAACAAATCGCTGTGTGCAGTTCATCCAGGCGTGGCTTGTTGCGTCCTTTTGAAGCGACCGGCTCGGCATAAGACTGTCTGCTGGCGGCGTTCCCCCGGTGCGCCCTGTGTGGGAGGTGCTGAGGATAGACAGCGGTATGTTAGCTGTCCCTACCTGACTGCCTGGTCACTAACCCTCAGCACCACCCGTCCACGGCTGCTGCTGCTCTTGCTCGCCTCAGCATGCTCCCCGTCCGGCCGGCGTCGGTTCCGTTCAGACGCCGTGCGGCTGCGGCTGACGGCGGCGTCCGTGTGTGGCCGGCAGGGCGCTCCAGTTCCTGCACCGCTACTGCACGTTCCAGCGCAACGAGCCGTGCTCGCTGGCCGCCAGCGCCGAGATGATCGCCGCCTACATGGGCAAGCCCGTGTACGACGTGGCCATGAAAACCACGTACAACGCGGTCAAGGTGTTCGGGCTCAGCACGTAAGCGGCGCGCGTTGGCGGACGGCGTCTGCCGGCCAATCACGAACGGGCTCGGCAGCTGACTGCCCTACTCTTGCTCAGCTGACCGGCCGCTATTGCTCAGCTGGCCGGTCCTTTTCATGCAGTAGCCTGTTGCAGGACGGGTCGAACCTACGAAACGAAAGTATCCAACGATTTGCGGTGGCGATGTGTGAGTATGGAATACGCCGCGGAGCGATGCGGTCTCTGCGGCTGGCACCGGCTTCTGGCACGCTCCGGGCGGTGCGATGGAGGGGTCGTGCACAGCTGGAGCTAGCATGGCTGCTTCCGTTAGCATTTGCACTGAACCGATTGACGGAAAATATCCTCGTAAGCTTTTGCTGCTTACTCACTCCAGGCTCGGTCCCGCTGTTACCGTTCGTGAGAAGGCTTAGCGTCTGCCATCTCCACCGCCTGCCACCTGCTCCGCTGTGGTCTTCCATAATGCTGCCACTTGACTATGCACTGAGTCGGGTCTGTCCCCCAACTCCCTCAGTATGGCGTTACCTGGCGCATCGTGTGTAGCGCAGCTACTTTTAGTTACGCGCCCGCCTTGATTACGGTGCTGCGCGTTTTTGTTTGTTTGACACCCGGCTGCGGCTGCTAGTGACGCCTACGTTATTGTCTGCTGTGTCTTTCGCACAAGCCTTAGTTCGTTTTATAGTGCTGTGTTTCGCACAGCTATGATTCTTAGTTGCATCTGTCTGGTTCATGGTGCTTTGTCTGCACAGATTTTAATCTTTGTTACAACTGTCCCCGTGTTGGTGCGAAGTTGACGCGCAGTTACGCTGCTATTTATCTGTGTCCCCGTTTATGGTGCTGCGTCTGCCACACGGCTACGGATCTTAGTGACAATAGCAGCGCGGATGTTTTGTTTTGTCCGCGTGCGGGCGAGCTCCGTTGACGTCGGACCGCGCTTGTCCGTCCCTAGTTGCAATACGTCCCTAGTGCCGTGCTGGGTGGGCTATCCGGCCCTAGCGCCGGACCGCTGGGTAGAGATTGGTGCGAGGTAGAGGAGGCCGCCGAGATGTGCGACGCGGCTGAGATTATCGCTCTGGCCGGAGCCGGCCGGCGCCAGCTCTAGGGCCTGCGCTATCAGAAGCAATCGGTGCCAAAGACGGCTATCTTGTGTTACCGCCGTGTGCGGAGCGCGCGTGCTCGGCCGGCGCGGCAGCCCTTTCGTCGGCCACCGCCATCACCGGGGTGTTGGTTGTGTGGTGTGTCGCCGCACTATGTCTCCGGATGGCCAGGACCGCTCCTGTGATACCATGTGCCTATGCTACCGTGACAATATACTGAGAGAACGCGCGGTCTGCGGTTTGACTCCATTGGCCTGGTTTGCTTTTGATAGTATTTGATGGGCCATCAACGACCCAGACGCTCTCTCGCACGCGCACCCGAGCTTAGTAACATGGTCAAGGGAGCTGACAATCAGGTTTTTTTTCCATGGCCTCCGAAGCCTCCAAAACCTCCAAAGGCCGAGGAGCTGTTGATAATCACACTACGTATCCTTTCCAGTTTGAACCCTCCTGTTACGCTGTGGAAAACCCGTCTCCCCTCCGACTACGCTGTGGTGAGCGTAACATCCGAAAAAATAACGTCCGGTTGGCTCTCAGTTGAACCAGACGTGCGAAACAGAGCGCGGGCTTCTCACCAGTTATAAGAGAAAACCAGTGATATTTAACGTTATCGTGGCAGTGCTTCGCCATTGAAGGCTTTGACAATATGGAACCACACCCGAGTGCAATGTCACGTTGCACAAAGGCTTTCCGCTACTTATGCTGCGTTCCACTCCATGCTCCTTTTCCCCCTTTCACTCCATGCAAAACGCAACTTATGGACGGCCCCCACTTTACACTTGCGATAATTTTGTGAGGGAGCCTTTGCGAGGCCAGATATGCAAACGAGCATTTCTACGAACTCCAAGCTAAAGCTGAACTACGAGTGTTTCGTTCGACTTCCTTGACCGAATAGCAGAAGTGTGCCGGACTTGGATCGCACAGCCCAGCCGCCAGCAGGCGCTGGACTCGCTCTCGCCCGATCCGCTGACTCGCCCTCTCCCGCTCCGCTGACTCGCTCTCGCCCGCTCCGCTGGCTCGCGCTCTCCCGCTCTGCTGACTCGCTCTTGCCCGCCCCGCTGACTCGCCCTCTCCCGCCCCGCTGACTCGCCCTCTCCCGCTCTGCTGACTCGCTCTCGCCCGCTCCGCTGACTCGCCCTCTCCCGCCTCGCTGACTCGTCCTCTCCCGCTCTGCTGACCCGCTCTCGCCCGATCCGCTGACTCGCCCTCTCCCGCTCCGCTGACTCGCTCTCGCCCGCTCCGCTGGCTCGCGCTCTCCCGCTCTGCTGACTCGCTCTTGCCCGCTCCGCTGACTCGCCCTCTCCCGCTCCGCTGACTCGCCCTCTCCCGCTCTGCTGACTCGCTCTCGCCCGCTCCGCTGACTCGCCCTCTCCCGCCTCGCTGACTCGTCCTCTCCCGCTCTGCTGACCCGCTCTCGCCCGCTCCGCTGACTCGCCCTCTCCCGCTCCGCTGACTCGCCCTCTCCCGCTCCGCTGACTCGCTCGCGCCCGCTCCGCTGACTCGTTCTCGCCCACTCCGCTGACTCGCTCGTGCCCGCTCTGCTGAGGACACGTGCAGAGTCGTCCTGCCAGCGCCTCACACGTGTATTGATATCCAATCACAGGCCCGCATGGCACCGACACCGAAGAGCACGTAAATCGACCGATTCCCTGATGCTACCCGTCATAGAGCTACGCCCTCATTTCCCTGCCACCGGTCCACTTTCGGGGTGTATAAACTCACACGCTCACCCCCCCCCCCCCCCCCCCACCACCGGACTAGTGTCACACTGGCCGTGTATGTCCCGAATCCTGAGAAATAAACCCGTCATTGCGCTCCTGAACCTTACAGCCCGCACCAAGTCACACAAGCATCATTTCTGGCCAGCGCTTTTGACAAGCCAATATCGAGTCAATATCAAAACGTCTAAAGCGGAAAGTTTGTCGCCACGGCGCACGCAACGTCGCAACGTCCGGACCTCGCGCTCATGGGGCGCACCAGGTCAATACCGTTTCCATGAATAGTGGGCTTTGGCTTGAGTCATGTACCAGCAGTATAGTTTTACCGTTTCAATTCAGGCCCCTAACAGGCAACTCACGCCTTTAGCCTCGAAATTTGGGCGTCGTAAAACTAACAACTAAGTCAACGTTGCATGCCGCGTAATTTTGAACGCATGCCTTCGCGTGTCTTAATGAGTGTATGTACACATTTTGGTAAACAATTTCAATCACGCACACACGTGGACAAATACCACAGCAGTATGCAAACCATTGATCATATGACTAGCATTAGCGGCAATCTTCAGCATTCACAGCTTTAAATAGCACAAGCGGCACCATGCTACATGCCAGCAGTTCGACTCCTAGTGATCTTACCCGATTGACCATTGTCATCAGCTTTAAAAGCTCGGTACTGCAAAGCTCCCGTGTGATTCAACCACTAGTGCTTGCGAGGTAATGCAGGCACAAATCCACACCGACTCGTTCTATTAAACGCTGGAGGCAATCCACTGTGGTAACAGGAAGGCGTCAGACGGCCACACGCCGCTACTAGAAAAAATCTTGCGCGTGGCTTGGCTCGCTAGCCTCGCTTGAGCCGGCTCATAACAGAGACCGCGCGGACGCTGCGACACTGACCTGACCTCCACACCACGTGCGATGACCCCTCGGCCCTGTCCGCTCACCCCTGCCTCCCAACGTGTAACTCGACTATCCCCGCTACAGCCGGGGGCGACGCCGACCCGGCTACTGCGCCGTCTTGTAGTGCTGGGCCGAGCATGCGCGGAGCTTGTCGGCCGCCTGCTCCGGAGTCAGGTCACGCTGCGCCTGCGCCAGCATCTCGTACCTGGCGGACGGGTCAGCGGTTACGCCGTCAGACCTTGACCTGCGCACAGGTCACGCACACCGGTCTGCCGCCGGCGCACTGTCACACCGCATTCGTCGCGATAACTCACCCGACCATAAACTTCTTGACGGTGGAGGAGCGCAACAGCGGCGGCAGGTAGATGCCGTGAAACACCCAGTGCTGGCAGTCCTCCCCCATGGAATCGCCAGTCGGTGCGCCTGCGCAGTCAACGGCAACGAATCAGTGGCGTCAGCGTGAACGACCGTCGCGACGTTCTGGCTGGAGGCATGCGGTTAATGGTACTGACGGTATAATGACAATGTTCCGACACAATGCTGAATACAGCACGCATACGTGTCACATGCTGCAATCATAACGGGCCGCGCGTCTCGCGTTCCCAGTGAGGCGAGGAAACTCCCCCAGCCGCACTCATACCAATCAGAAACCCCGAAATAATCCAGCCGACCACCTCAGCCGCCGCCAAACGGCCGCAGCCAGCTGAGCACGCAAGACAGCGAGTCAGCTTACCGTGCCAGCCCATCGAGTAGGGGAAGTTGCAGCGGAATAGGTTGTCGTAGCGCGTGGTGACCTGCCGCATCATGTCGGCCAGCAGGCGCTGCTCGTCGTCGCTGAGGTCGGGCATGCGCAGCACGTGGCGGCGCGGCAGCACCATCATCTCGTACGGCCAGACGGCCCAGTGCGGCACCAGCGCCACAAACGCCGCGTTCTCACACACCACCCGCTCCTGGCGGCGGATGCGGAAACTAGTTTAAACTAGTAGGAAACTAGTAGGCGCGGCGCCCGCGACGCGGCGTCACACACGCCATCGGTGACGGAGGACACGTGCGGGTGTCAAAGTGTTGCGCCGTGGCCGCTACGGCGGCCGCCACAGGAGCAAAACTATACGACACACGGCTGCCCCCCAATGGAAGGGACAACGCCTGGCAGTTACAAGGGACCTAGGGTGAGGCACGCACACATTTTCATGAATGCAGCTATAAGGTGCTTCAGGGCACCATGAAAGCTGCTGCGATAGCATGCAACACACCGCACGACTAATTATAGTCAGATGACAGTCCGATGAAACTAGCATCCAAATCACGGTAAGCGTCGGCGCTGCTGCGACCAATCCTGCTCACGGCGCCGGCCCACCCCACCTTCTTGTCGAGCTCCTGCTGGAGGTAGTCGAGCAGCAGCGGCCGCTTGAACTTGGCCATGTACTGGCGCTGGTAATGGTCCTTGACGCGCGGCTCGTTCGGCATGAAGGACGAGGCCCAGATCTGACAGTGCGGGTGTGGGTTGCTGCACCCCATGATGGCACCCTTGTTCTCGAACACCTGCACCCAGCGGTACTTGAGGCCCAGTTCGATGGTCTCCGACACCCACCTGAAGAGCGCGAGCGCGGGTCCCGTGAGCAGCGCCGGCGGGAGCGAGCGACGCTCCACACTGCCCCAATCCGCGCCAATTGGTCTTTGCAGGGCGAGGGGGAGGAGGGGTAGGTCAGCCATGACCGGGTGCAGGTGGGCAAGGCTGACGACATGGCGCGGATGCTTTACACTGCGTGATGTGATTGATCACTGTCTAGCAGACGTAAAAGACCGCGTCATCGCACAAGGGCGAGGACAGATGATTGGTCTACAAGTAATTGCTGTAATGATACCGATTGGCAGTATCAACTGCAGCAGACCATGAGGTGATACAAACTGTAATAGACCGCGTCACCACGACCCGCATACTTCCTTCACGTAGTAAACGAAGGAAAGGATCAAAGGATGCATATCGCGGAGCGAATAATACCAAACAAACAAATAGCTGTGGCAGACATGAAGAAACAGAAGCGACAGTTCACACAGCTCTTTAGAGCTCCACTTGCTGCATGCATTCCTGTATGAGAGCTGCCATCACCAGATCAGCACGATCTTTAAAACAGTTGTATCTCCCCTCAGCCAGTCAGCGGATAGAAGTGCAACCATACACCAGCTTCCTTGCAGTACTCAACAACAAAATAAGATAACAGAAGTCCATATGCAATGGCAAACAATAGCAATAACCAGGTTAGCAATGACTTAGGTTAGTAGTAGGTTAGCATTCAGTCACCAATACTCAAGAAAAGAAACTTAAAGCCCCAATCCATATTTGCACATGCCAAAAGGGCAACACAGCCTGCGGGACAAATGCTCAGACTATGATCTACGTGTTCGCGATGTGTGGCAAGCTGACCTCTCAACGACCTTGGTGACCTCGTCCAGAGTCATCAAAGGCAGCGTGATGTCCGACCTCGGATGAAAGCACATGACCCTGCACGTGCCCAGCGCTGGAGCGCACTGAAACAGCACCGACGCGGCATCACTGGCCAGGCCCGAACAGCGTCAAAGCGTGACGTCATCGAGCGCAGTGAAGCAGCGCAGACGCGACACCACTGGCCAGGCCCGAACAGCGCCAGAGCGTGGCGTCACTGAGCGAGTGAGGCAGCGCAGATGTGATACCACTGGCCCGGCCCGAACAGCACCAGAGCGTGACGTCACTGAGCACAGTGAGGCAGCGCATACGTGATACCACCGGGCAGGCCCGAACAGCACCAGGGCGTGATGTCATCGTAGACATCACAACAGCACTTTCGACGCTTCCGCGCCTCCGACGCCGCGCGGTGCAGGGCGGGCCAAACCTGGAAGAGCGGGTTGTCCGACTTGGGCACGGGTGGCGCGTCCTCCAGCAACGCCGGGAAGTCGTTGGTGAACACGTACGTCGATTCGTAGTCCGGGTTTACCTGCAGTGGCGGGAGGCAGGGGCGGTCACGCAAGGTCGGAGCCGACCGAGACAAGGGTGCGGCGCCGTGGGAGACCAATCAGGTTGCGGAAGGTGGGCGAAGTCCTGCTCAAATTTCTCACGCATATCGCGTTAGAGCGAGATGGTGCACTCCCTGGAGCCGAACACGTCACAACTTTTAGTTATATCTTGAGCGAGAGATGCTTCGTGACTGTTGGTAGGTCCTGACAGCCTGCATTCTACGATGCGGCACACACAGCCGAAATACGATTTTTTCATCCGGCAAACTTGAACTGCTGGCGCATGCCATGTGACCACGCCATAATCAGCTGCTGAAGCTATACGGCGTCGCCTGCCTCTCGCCCTCGCAGGAAGGGCGGGCATTGCTAGCATCCAGTTTGACTCATAAAAGCTTTTCATCCGTTTATAACAGGAGGCGTGACGCACGTCCAACTGCATCCTCTTAGGGAGCGCCAGCGACTGCAGATGCCATATTAACACTCAAGGGTCGTGGCGCCACCGGGGCTCGAACCCAGCCACCCCATGTGAGTGGCGAGGGCACTAACCACTCTGTCACTACCCACCGCGAAAAAAAAAATATGTTAGGCAGATAAGACAATTTAAGCATACCGAACTGCTTAGCTGGCTAGCACATCAATTTTGATGATAGCCATTCACATAATTGGTCCACGACTTAGCACACCGAATACTGCAACCAATATATACAAAATCAACACTGATGCCCTGTCTTTGCACCTTGGGTTGGCTTGTTGTCATTAACTTAACACAAACCAGACTGTGGGGGGCCAAAAGCCATATGGGGCAACACATGTGACATGCCTCAATCCTGACTCATTGTTACAATTCCGCGGACCGGACTACTGGACAGCGTGACCATATGTTAACAGGTCAGAGGGTGAGGTGTGTTCCCACCTGTCCATTGGGCCGCGTGACGCCCGGGCAGAGTGGGTTCTTGGCGTCGTGCGCGGGCACGCTTTCCTCAGCTGGCTTCTCCACCTGGCCACTCCAGGGGCGCTTACAGCGGTGCGGCGACACCAGCACCCACTCGCCTTTCAGAGGGTTGTACCGAATGTGCTGGTGCTCTGGAAAGTCAAGCAGATGTTATTTCATGAATGACTGGGCACTGTGGGCCTTGAACCTGGTGCATTACATGTGGGCCAGTCAAAACATACACTTCAAATTCCATATATAAAAGGTGGTTCATTTTTTTCAGGCAGGGCAGGCATCAGCTGCATCCAAAAATGGCAGTGCAGCTCCGAAAACTGGAATCCAATTTGCCTAAATGTCCCCAGGTTTAAGTCAAATGGGACTCCTCATACAAATTTTTGGAACCTACACTCCTGCACCATCCAAAACATATTTAAATCAAAGACTGCCTTTCAGCACTGTGATGAAACATTTGTGCCTGAGCAATCCATTTGCACATATCACTGTCAGTATTGTGACATGTTGCATGTGCATGCCCTGGTGATTGTTCATGTACTGTTGGTGTCACATGCAGTAGTGGCTTGTACGTTGGTTGCTTGGTGCATGTGGTCATGGACGCTCTCGTTGCTGCATGCTGCACGCTCTTATGCTAGCTCCCAGGGCTGCATGTGGTGTATGGCTAGTTGCCAGCTAATGAGTCCTTTGCATGTGTTGCAGAATGGGTGTCTAGTTTGACAGTGCACTACTTCCTGAATAAACCACAGTTTGGCAGTTGTCTCAGTATCATCCAACTGACCCCACTTCAATGCATCAGACTCAAACAGTTTTTTGTACTGGTCTTGAAAATTTCCAAGTGACATCCAGCTGGCATGAAGGTGTATTAGTTATAGGCTGTAGCATGCATCCTGTTCCTTGATATGAAATTGACAGAGTGACAATAAATAAAAAAAAACATTAACATCTATTTGGAATCCAACACATAGACAATTGACAACTTTGGTGATACTAGTGGTCGGGCATCATTGATGCAGTTATATTGAACATATTTTTGCTCTGCAAAATACACTCCCTTATTTTCTTGGATATATTTTATCATTCCCTTACACACACACACACACACACACGCACGCACGCACGCACGCACGCACGCACGCACGCACGCACGCACACACGCACACACACACACCACACACACACACACACACACACACACATATATATATATATATATATATATATATATATATATATATATATCTTTGTCTTCTGGAGAGTTTCTTTTTCAATGGGTTTATATATATACATAACCCAACCCACCTAACCTAACCTAACCAAAACTAACCTAACCTAACCTAACCTAACCTAACCTAACCTAACCAAACCTAACCTAACCTAACCTAACCTAACCTAACCTAACCTAACCTAACCTAACCTAACCTAACCTAACCTAACCTAACCTAACCTAACCTAACCTAACCTAACCTCCCCACCCTATATCCCCTTCAACCCAGTGTCCTATTGGCATCCATGTTCCATGCCATATATAGGTACCATATAGTGAGCTTTTACTTAGCTGTCATGTTCTCATTTTGCTTTACATTCCCCGCCCAATCCCCCTGCAACCCATCGCCCCATTGGCGTTGAGGATCACATTTCATGGATTCTTGCTACCTTGGCCCCCCTACATTTTTATGGTTCTTGATGCTGCTTGATGCACAGTAACGTTGTGACCGCACGCAGCAATGGCGCCGGGGTCGCGGCTTCCGTGCGTTTGCAGCAGTCAGATGTTCGGTATCGTAATTAGTTAAGTTGCAAGGTAAGAGTATAGATGACCTGTTTTACCATTAATCATGATTTTTACCATGAATCCATTTTATTTGATTTACCATGATTTACCATTAATCATGTTCAGCCTTAAAAACAACGATTGATGTACAATGCTCTTTTGTAACACGAGGTACCAATGTATACCCTGACCGCATAGTGGTCTTCATTGGGACTCAAAAATCCAAGGGATAAAGTTCTGGTAGGCCCATCCCTGTTCAGATACCCATCCATGCGATGCAGGAAAACAAATTTGCCTGCATTCCCAAAGTCACCTTGAGCAGCATTCATGTCATATCTTTGAATGAGGTACATACTCACCATTTGGCTGAAATACTAGAAGACCTTCTGCCTGTGACATGATTGCTCAGCACAATCACTCCTTATCCATAAGCAGCTAATTCCTGAAAAATAAAATGTGTGGCACAATGACCACCAAACACAACTCAAATAAGGGTCAGGGTGTACTTTACTACCTAATGTTAGAAAAAATCCTTATACACCGTTCATCATGTTTAAGGCAGGACATATCGCAAATAATCACAAAAGAGGTAGATCCATGCTCTTACCTTCAAATTTCGGTCAGGGTGTACTTGCCTACCTAACATTAGAAAAAAAATCATTGTACACCATTTGTCGTGTTTAAGGCAGGACATATCGTAAATAATCTCAAAACAGGTAGAATCATGCTCCTACCTTCGAATTTCAATAACTTCGATGGCGGGCTCCCGAGCGCCGCGCGCACCGCACCGCCTCGACTCCCCAGCGCCGTTTCTGCGTTGCCGTTGCGTAAATACAATATTTCTGCTTACCAAGAACTCTACAAAATGTACGGGACCAAGGTAAACCATTCGTCGTGTTTAAGGCAGGACATATCGTAAATAATCACAAAACAGGTAGATTCATGATCTACCTTCAATTTTTTATAATTACGATGGCGAGCTCACCGAGCGCCGCACACACACGCACCCGCGACACCGGCGCCATTACTGCGCGGGTCACAACATTACTGCGCATCAAGCCGCATCACGGAACCATAAAATGTGGCGGGCCAAGGTCACAAGACATCCATGAAATTTGATTCCTCGACGCCAACGGGACCATGGGTTTTTGCACGGGGGATTGGGTCGGGAATGTAAAGCAAAATGAGAACATGCAGCCAAATAAAAGCTCACTATATGGCACCTAATATTATGCATGGAATGGACAACCAATGGGGCTGGGTTGAAGGGGAATAGGGGGGGAGGTAGGTTAGGGTTAGGTTAGGTTAGGTGTAGGTTAGGTTAGGTTAGGTTGGGTTAGGTTAGGGTAGGTTAGCTTAGCTAAGCTTAGGTTCGGGTCTTTTTCAGGTTAGGTTAGGTAGGTAGGTTAGGTTAGGTTAGGTTAGGTTAGGCTTAGATAGCTAGCTTAGGTTCTGGTCTATTCCAGTTAGGTCAGGTTAGGTTAGGTTAGGTTACTAGGTTAGGTTATGTTATGTTAGGTTCGGTTAGGTTAGGCTAGTTTAGTATATGGTCGGGAACTCTGGGATTGGGGGGGGAATGTTAAAGCAAATGATAACATGGCAGCTAAATAAAAAGCTCACCCATATGGCACCTATATAGCATGGAACATGGACACCAATGAATGCTGGGTGAAGGGGATATAGGTTGGGAGTTAGGTTAGGTTAGGTCTAGGTTAGGTTCGGTTAGGTTAGGTTAGTTAGGTTAGGGTAGGTAGCTTAGCTAAGCCTTAGGTTTCTGGTCATCTCAGGTTAGGTTAGGTTAGGTTAGTAGGTTAGGTTAGGTTAGGTTAGCTTAGATTAGCTCAGCTTAGGTTCTGGTCTATTCTCAGTTAGGTTAGGTTAGGTTAGGTTAGGTTAGGTTAGGCTAGTTTAGGATATGTTCTGGACTATTCTGGCCTGTGTGTTTCAGAAATGTACCTAAACTCGATAAGAAACGATTTGGGTTGCTTTATTATTGTTACCTTGGTCCCGTACATGTTTTATGGTTTTTGATAAGCAGAAATATTGTGCTTTCGCAACAACGCAGAAACGGCGCTTGGGAGTCGAGGCGGTGCGGTGCGGTGCGCGCGGCGGGAGCTCGCTATCGTATTTATTAAAATTCGAGGGTAGGAGCATGATTCTATCTGTTTTGAAATTATTTACGATATGTTCCGCCTTAAACACGACGAATGGTTTGCCTTGGTCCCGTACATTTTGTAGAGTTCTTGGTAAGCAGAAATATTGTATTTACGCAACGGCAACGCAGAAACGGCGCTGGGGAGTCGAGGCGATGCGGTGCGCGCGGCGCTCGGGAGCCCGCCATCGAAGTTATTGAAATTCGAAGGTAGGAGCATGATTCTACCTGTTTTGAGATTATTTACGATATGTGCCGCCTTAAACACGACGAATGGTGTGCAATGATTTTTTCTAACGTTAGGTAGGAAAGTACACCTACACCTAAATTTTTCATAATTACAATGGCGAGGTCCCGAGCGCTGCACACACACAGCAGCCGCGACACCGGCGCCATTACTGTGCGCGGTCACAACATTACTGCGCATCAAGCAGTATCAAGAACCATAAAAATGCACCTGGCCAAGGTAGCAATAATCCATGAAATAATTTGATCCTCGATGCCAACGCCAACAGGACGATGGGTTGCGGGGGGGGGATTGGGTGGGGAATTAAAGCGATGCCAACAGGACGATGGGTTGCCGGAGGATTGGGTGGGGAATGTAAAGCAAAATGAGAACATGGCGGCTAAATAAAAGCTCCCTATACGGTACCTATATATGGCATGGAACATGAATGCCAATGTGATGCTGGGTTGGTGCGGTGTGTGCAGCACTCGGGAGCTATCATATTGGTTAAAATTTGAAGGAAGGAGCATGATTCTACCTGTTTTTAGATTATTTACAATATGTTCCACCTTAAACATGACAAATGGTGTACAATGATTTTTTCTAGCATTAGGTAGCAAAGTACACCTACACTGAAATAAGTGCTGGAAAAGTGCAAGCAAATACTACTGCAGAGCCAACAGTGCACCTGTTTCATTCTGGAATCCCTCTTGCATGCTGTCTTCATAATGTTCCACAGTACTGGCATGGAAAGAAGTATTAATGAGGGTGAGCCTAGGTTCAGGAGCCACATATTCAAGCACCTGGGAACTGTGATTGTCCCAAACATATGCAGTCACCAGAGATGGCCGGCCGAAGATCCATATCTGCTAAAAAAGCGTACTTGTTATCTTCGAGAGCGCGATCGTTGTATTTATCGGAACACTTACACAGCCTTGGTCGCAACGATCGTTTCCAACCAAACGTAACATTCGCAGTGTATGCTCACCAATTCCGCATACACCGGCACTCACTCCACAACCCCTCAGTTTCACGACAATTCCGTCAGTTTTGCCGCGTTTGCCGCTTCGAAAATCAGCTGAAAGCATAAGTAGTTTATATGCTACCAAATCGGGAGAACTCTAATTATAGTAATAAGATCAAAGATCGAAGGCATTTGTCGCGCTTGGGATGTAAAAGAATATGATTAAATATTTTCAATCAAAAGTGACTTATAAGTGGTTCAAAAATCACCTGCCTCTGATTTTGTTCGTGGGGCTTTTGTCAAAATGTTCTGGTAAGAAAGGCCGACAGAAATTTTTGTATGCGTGACCAGTAATAAGCGCGCGTAAGCTCGAAATCTGCGCGGTCTCAGACGACGTTTCGCGATATTGAGCACTCGTTGAACCTCTGTCGCGCTGAGTGCCGTGTTATGTTCGGTGTTCTGTCGCTCTTTAGATGCTTCCAGGATACCAGCATTTCATAATTAAATTAAGTAACATCAACTACCCCAGAAGTCCAGGTGGAATTGATAGCTGTATTTCGGCATTGAATGTCCCGGTTGGACGAGGTTTTCTCGCTTTTGTGGATTTGTAGTTGCGAGGTAAGTGTAATGGATATTAATATGTAAGTGTTGAAATAAGTTTTAAGCCTGCTTACCTGCATGCTACGCCTCAGACATTGATATGTGGCAAATGCCAGTACTCATATTTAAGTACTTTGACAAATTGTGCCTCTTAGTGCTTTGTTATGCCATTTTTGACCCACAACTGTCTTGTACAAGTATGGTAGGTGGGCGTGCTAGTTTTTCCAGTGTCAAAGTAACATATGCAGATTTTACTTCCCTCACCTGTCCATGGTTTGCATAGCGTGTGGTCAGTTGGTGATGCTGCCACTGGTCTTGCAAATGCTGGTCAATCAGCTTGGACTTATTCAAGCATGTTTGATGTTTGCCATTTTATTTTGCATTATGTGAAGTTGTAGAAGGGCTTTGATATTGGTTTGATGGTGCTGCTGGACCAGCACACTTTGGAAGAAGAACTCTTGGTTTTCATTAGCTTGTGTAATGTGGTGGTGATCGGTGTCTGCGAGCCACTTATTGGATGCAGGGTTGGCATGCATTGAGGTCTGAATGGGGAAAAAATCTTCCACTCAAACTGAGAACTTAAAGTTCTGAGATTGGGCTGAAGTTATCTGCAAAAGTGTGTATTTTTCATAGGCTTGATGTTAAATCATGAGTGAAACATTCCACACTGATGCATTTTAGCCACATTGAAAATATGCAATGCACATGAACTGCACAATTTGATGATATCATTGATATCCTTGTGTGTACTCATTTTCAGACTCAGGAACATTGATGTCATGGCAGCAGCTGTAGTGGACTCCTCCATCCAGATGAACATTGTGGACAGCTCTCTGGGATCAACAAATGATCCCCCTCCTGATCAACCTGATGGGCCTCTGCTGCCAGCCAGTTCATCTCCAGCAACTGACTGCAGTGGACAGATGGCCAACTCAGCACTCACAGCCAGTGATGCGCTGACAGGCGCGGACGACAGCGACAACGAGCCGACGTCGGGGCCGACACGCGCGCGCCACCCAGCCGTCGGCAGCGACGGGGACTCGGCCGGGCCCGGCCGGGCGGCGGACGACTCCGGGACAGACGTGGAGGCGGATGCGGTGCCGGCCCGCATGCGCGTCCGCCGTCTGGTCATCGAGAGTGATGAGGAGGAGAGAGGAGCCGCGGGCGGTGGCGATCAGGAGGAGGTGGACGATGCGGCAGCAGGCGCTCGGCAGGAAGGGACGGGGACCGCTGCCGTGACCTCGCAGGCGCGCCGACGGACCTGCCGCCTGGCGTCGGACAGCGAGGAGGAGGACGAGGAGGTCCAGCCCGGCGGCGGTGCAGGTGGCGCCACCGCGGCCGGCGACGATAAGGTGAAGACGGACGGGGCTGAGGACGCAGCAGCGGCGGCCGAGCGACGGAGGGAAAGGAACCTGAAACAGCTCCTGGCGCTCGGTGACAGCCCGTCTGAGGAGGACGAGCGCCCGGAGCAGGCGGTGAGGCCCGCCACACGTCAGCCGACGCGGCTGGTCGGGTCACAGTGGAGCAGCATTGTGGGCTCTGCTCACAGCAGGGTGGCTGCTACTGACAGCTTAGTGATCTTAAATTAGCAGTGAATGAACAAAGGTCACTGACATTAAAAAGTTGGCCTCGTGCTGCCAAGGAGTCACCCGTTGCCGCAAGCTATCAGCGCTGCCAGTAGCTAGGTGCAGTATCTAAATGATGCTATGCACTGCTCTCCAAGCAACCTTGAAAGGACATATGCTGTGTTGCCCAATACTGCCATGTACCAATGGCTGGTACTGTAAATAACGATGTGAGCTTTTCTGTAAGACTTCTTAGAATATGACAAGCAGTGATGTTGGAATTATTTTCCCTGGCGTGTCATGCATTAATATTGGGAATTAATTTTCAGCTCACGACGGATTTGGAACATGGAGAGGAAGCTGGATCACGTCTACCAGCTGAAAAGAAAAAATCACATAAGAAGTTACAACAGACAAGTCCCAGGAAGAGTGGGAAGGCATGTATCCACAAATACCTCCATCTTCTTCCTTTTTTCCTTTCATTCTTTTTTTAAGCGAGCACAGCTCACGTCGTCGTCTCTCCCCCCCCCCCCTCCCCAAGGTGTGTGGCAGGCATCGTCAGCGGTAGCCGTTACGCCCAGAGGCAGCGGCGCGACGACAGACCGAACCAGGGCCATCCACGCGGCAGCCTGGGGTCGTAACCTCTTGACCATCACACCCCTGCAGCCGGGACATTCAGTGGTGATCGTAGGTCAGCATACATGCTGAGTGGGACCCAAGCTGTAGCCTAGCAACACCTGTGACGTCACGGGTCGGCACCAGGGTTGGAACGGCATGCCAATCAGCTGCCCTCCAAGGCTGACTCCCGCTCTCCGCACGCAGGAGGCGGCTGAGCAGATGCGGCAGATCCGCAGCGCCGCCCAGCGGCGCACGCGCGAATCACGCCTGAACCTGCCCTACCACCGGCCGCGCCAGCGCACGCTGCACGAGTTCCTGTCCCGCCGACAGCGCGCCGCCCCGATGTCCGACGACCTGCGCCTGTCGCGCGCCGACGTCCACACCGTGTCGTAAGTGTCCCGCCAGACGAGTGGGCCGGAGCCGGGGTCCTGCTGCCAGACCTGTCGCAGGTTAGCCTGTTGTTGGTCTCCAATTATGCGGTGCATAGGGGAAGATCAAAGCAATGGAAAGAATCGTAATATTTTCGGATATTCTTGGCTCATGTCATACAACAGGACACTTTTTGCTGAATCTTGGCTGGGCACTCCCGTCAGGTCACTCAAGCTGTCTTCCAGCCACGCAACAGTCGAGCCATGTCGTAATTACTCGTACGGTTGGCTCCAGTCGTTTTTGTGAATTTGATGAATCATATTTCGCATGAAAAACAAATTAGTAAGTGGTTATGCCCCTGTGATCCTTCTACAAGCAAAACACTGGCTAGCCATCCGTTCATGACTGTCTGACAGGCGCCGCCTTGAGGAGACCGAGAAAGAGATCGAGGAGTTTTACCGCTCGGCCTCTGAGCCGGAGGACGGCGCCAATTCGGACCCGGAGTGGGCCCCGATCGACACCACCACCGCCGCTGCCGCTGCCGCCGCCACTGCCGCCGCCACCGCCACTGTCGCCGCCGGTGTCGCCTCCGCATCCGCCTTGGCCACCCGCTCGCTGGAAGACGTCCCCGAGCGGGCTCCGGACCCGGAGGAGGACGACGCGGCGCTCATGTCGCAGTCGTCGCAAAAGGTGCAGGAGTGGTTGGTGGGGGTGCAGCAGGGCGCCACCGACGCCGACGCGGCCGCTGACGACACCGCGATGACGGACGCTGGAGATGCCGCCTCGGCGAGAGCGCCGGAGCCGGCCACCGGCGCCGGCGCCGAGCCGGCCGCGGTGCTGGCTCCGGCGCGAGACGAGCCAAGCGTCGGGCCGCCGCCGGCCGCCGACGAGGCGCGCTCCGTCTCCGCCGACACGGAGACCACCAGCCTGGCGCCCGGCGACAGCGCCTCGCAGGTCAACGCGCGCGCCGCCGTCACCGCCGCCGGCGCCGCTGGTGATGCCGCTACCGCCGCCGGTGATGCCGCTGCCACCGCTGGTGATGCCGCTGCAGCCGCCGGTGATACCGCTGCCGCTGCCGGGCCGCCGCCGCGGCTAGCGGCTCTGGCGGCGCGCCTGCCTGACGCCGTGCTGCGTTCGACGCCGCGGCTAGGACCGCGTTGCGACGTGGTGTCGCTGGACAGCGACGATGAGGGGCCACCCGGACCGGCCGGGCTCGACGAGCTGGTGCAGCGATTCATCAGGCACTCCAGCGCCAAACCCAAGACGGCAGAGAAGAAGACGATCAATATCAGGTGGGTGCGACCGAGTGGCTTTTGCCACGTTGAGGTACCGCTGGCGGTGTAGTGGTTAAACTGCGGCTCGTCCCGCTTCATTCGGAAAATCTAATGGCGGTCCAGAGGCCGTTGAAGGCATGCTACGCAAGTGTGCCCACTTGTATGAAATTTGAACGGGTCCCATATTGTGAAATGTTCCTCACGAGTTTTCCACCGTTTGCTTTGTTGGACCTTCTCCAAGTTATAGGCGATGGCCAGGTGGGGCTGCCAGCGGGGCTATAACTTTACAATCACCAATTACACCGCCAACTGCTTGTCAGCAGTAAGTAACTCACTTCAATACAAGTACTGTCACACTCACTTGTGAGCAATAAACAACTCGCCTCTGTACAAGTTTTGCCACACACTTTTCAAGACACTTAAGGGCAGGATGTTACGTCAGTTGGTGTATGTGTGCAACGTTGCAACGTCATCGCTTTCTCACTCACTGTATTAGGAAGGGAACGTAAAATTTTCAAATCGCGACAACAGTTGAGGACCGTCGGTTGGAAACAGGTCCGAATCTCGACGACCATGCTTCACAGCGACACCAGACTTATCAGCGCTCGCGTTGGAGAAAACGCACACCTATACTGGGAGACGTGTGGCTCCAAGTGTGCCAACTCTCACGTGGCGTGCGCAAACCGTGGATCCTCCCGTTCTCTACCATTTTCATGGATTGATATCCGATTTTCGGAAGCGGAGCAAGTGGAAATATAAAACGAGCTGTACGGCGCTGATTGGAACGAACAAAGTAGCGCGCAGCGTAGGCGACTGACCAACGACGTGGGAGAGCACACCTCTGGAAGTCATGAAACGCGCGCCAGCAATAGACCGAAAATCCAGCGATGCCACGTTTTCAGAAACCACGCTCAAACGGAATGAGCTGTGGCTTGGCCGCAGTGAAACCGAGCCACAAACCTTTCGGTGCATGTTCAGTCATAATGTGCATTGTGGCGTTCAAGCCCGTGACGACTTTGTTCCTCCCTCACCGCGGTGGGAGCGACACTAGTATACCTTGACCCGTCCCACCCCCTCCTCCGAGCTGCCGACTCCCTGCTGCACCGACGGTGACTTCGCGTCCCTGCTGCTGCACCAACGGTGACCCCCCCCCCCCCCCTCCCGCAGCCTGGTGCGGCTGGAGAGTGACGAGGCGGGCGGCGAGCGGCTGGTGGCTGACTCTGTGCCCGTCACGGTGACGACGGGACGCGAGCCGGCGCCGGCCGCCGGGCCGCCGGGCGCCCAGCGCCAGCGCCTGCAGCGACTGCTGCTGAGCACCGTGCGCCGGCGCCGCGAGGAGGCGCGTCAGCGCCGCGAGCGCCAGTACCGTCTCGACAACGAGGAGCGGGTGGACGACAGCTACCTCGGTCAGTTTGCCCCGGCGGCCCAGGGGTTGCCGGTGTCAAGGGCGGGCCCTCCACCTGGCATCGGGTGAAAGGGGCTCCGCATCGCGCTGGGTGAGCTAGGGGAAGGGGGGGGGGGGGGCGTGGGGGCTCCACATCGCGCGCATGCCAATAGGTCGTTTCTCAAAAGCTAGGTGTGGAGAGATGTAAGCTTGTTTATTTACCGTCATGTCATGAAGGCAAGAGACCCCTCAATGTAGGTGGTCAGTGGTGTGCGTGGAATGAGAGGTCAAGGTACTGCAAGCAGTGACTGCGTGGCCACAGCGCTCCTTACTATGGAAGTTTGATGTTGGTTTGATCCCGGGAGTAGTTCTGCGTGTCGAAGTGAATGGCTGTTTTTTGGGGAGGGCAGTTTATTTTCGCGCGGACTGTAGCTTCCCGCTCGTGATCAGCATGAGACGCCGTCAACGACACGCGGAAGTAAGCGGTTTCCGTGCTGTGCTGTGGAACGTTGCCACGATCCTTATATCCTGGAACTGAGTTATATATATATATATATATATATAATATATATATATATATATATATATATATAAAGTGGTCAATCGTGCGGCGCTCCGCGCCTCTGCCTCCGCCTCCGCTAAAGGTGCGCGGTCCACAGACGACTTGCCCGATGAAGAGGCGGAGCCCAGTGACGTCAGCAGCGGTAGCGGCGAATCAGAGCCCGAGGAGGAGGCGCCACTGGTGGACAAGCCCCGTCCCCGCTGCTCACTAGTTGACGACGAGGCCGATGACGAGGAGAACGGGTACGAGGATGAGGACGAGGACCATCTGGGGAAGGACGGGGACAGCTGCGCGGATGCGGTCGAAGACGAGGACGACGACGAGGAGGACGAGCTGAATCTGGTGCTGGAGGACGATGACGGTGAGTGGTACTGATCGAGTGTTGGTGAGCAATCTTCTCGGGATGTATAGCTCTGCTAAAACCTTAGGCTAGGAATGAGTTTATGCTTTATTTGGTTTTGTTCATTGGGCTCTTAGTGCTGGAATTCTTCTGATCTCCGGCATAAGACAGCGAAGAAACGTTGCTTATTCCGTATCCGTACTGTCCCGGCCCGCTCTATTCTGTTCCGTGTGAACACGAGTAGGCGTGTGACCCAGTTTGACCCACTGTTACCCTACATGACCCGCTGTGACCCGGCAGACGCTGGGCCGGCCGACGCGCCATCCTGCCGCGGCAGCTTCGTCACCGAGCCGGAGCTGTTCTGCACACAGCCGGACGCCCGTCAGTCCGGTGGGTCACGTGCCATCTCGTGGCCTCCGAACTCCGAGGGGGGGTGGGTGAGGCGTCTGCTGGTCGGACGAGCCAGTGGTGCTCTGTGTGTGCACCGCTCCTGTGGCAGTCAAGCGTCAGAGGTCGGGCGGCCCGTGACAGTCTCACTGCAGTTGGACGTGGCTGCTGCCGTCTTGTTTAATCCACGTCTCCATCTTTATATTGTCCTTATTTGATCCACCACGACGGTGGAGGGCTGGTTAACGCACGCCCTCGCCTCCCTTCCGACGACGCTGTTACTGAATAGCCGGCCTGTCACGTTGCAAGTTGGGTATTCAGTTTTCTGTGTAGGAAATGCACTCGCCAAGATTGGAAATTCGGCCTAATGGGATCGCATGGCTGCCTTTTATTTAGAAGCAACAGCTATGTTTGCTTCAACACCAGTCACCACTAGTTCTGTCAGTGTTTGCCGCTCGTCACCACGTTCATCGTCACTGATGTGATGTTACCGCCGGTTCTTCGCCCGGTCTGGGTGATGCCACCTCCAGCCGTGGCGTCTGACGTGACGTAACCTCCGGTCGTAGCCTTTGACGTGACGTAACTTCCGGTCGTGGCCTCTGACGTGATTTAACCTTCCGTCGTGACCTCTGACGCGACGTAACCTCCGGTCGCGACCTCTGACGTGATTTAACCTTCCGTTTGGACTTCTGACGTGGCGTAACTTTTCATTGTGACCTCTGACGTAATATAACCCTCCGTCGTGACCTCTGACGCAACGTTACCCCCGGTCGCGACCTCTGATATGCCGTAACCTTTCGTCGTGACCTCCGACGTACGGCCTTGCCACCGCCCGCCACTTCCTGTGACGTCCTCACTAGCCCTGTGTCAAACTTTGTGAGGTCACCTCCTGTCGTGACGCCCGCTGTATCGCCAGGTGACGCGCCGAGCGGCCTGTCGCGGGACTCTGACCAGACGGAGTCGCTGGTGACGGCCCACCAGCCGGGCGGCGGCTTCCGGCTGGGTGGCCGGCCCCCCGGCGACGAGGAGGAGGAGGAGAAGCCGCCAACTCCGGCCGCCGACACACAGCCGGTCAGCGCCGCGGGAGGGGGGGGGGGGGGGGGGAGGGGAGATGCAAGGGCGGTACCGTCTAGAACACGTATTAGACGGGTGTAGCACTGACAGTGGAGGCGCGCCTCGTCTGAAGCTGATTATAATAATGTGATCGTGTGTGTGTATGTGCGTGCGTGCGTGCGTGCGTACGTGCGTGCGTGCGTGTGTGCGTGCGTGCGTGCGTGCGTGCGTGCGTGCGTGTGTGTGTGTATGTATGAGAGGGAGAAGATCTGCTCGAACTTTAGCTGGCGGGGAGATGAACGCAGCAGACGTTCCTCCCTGAAGCATGGGCTCCGCCTGGTACTGGTGCTTGGCTAGGCTACGACCCCGGTGTGAGCCCGCCTGACAGCGCCGCTGGCGCCTGCAGATGGCCAGCCTCAGCCAGGCGGCGTCGGAGCCGGCGGCGGAGGCGGCGCGGCCGGCGCAGCAGCCGCTCTCGCCGCTGGGCCGGCTCCGCCTGACGCCAGAGCCGCGCTCGGCCATCGGCGCCCTGCTCGACCCATCCGCCGATGAGAGCATTGACGACCTGCTCAGCCTCTGCTCCGGCAAGTTTGACGGTGAGTGGGCGGAGCGGAGCCGCGCGCGCAGGCGTCTGAGGCGGGCGGGGCGGGGCCCGCGGTCGCGTGTTCGTCCGGACTGTGTTCCCCGCCGCGCTGACCATGTCCTCCGGTTTGCGATCTCGGTGATGCCAATGCTGCGAGGTCCTGTGTTCTGCAGTGCTTTGATTTCCGGTGTTCCGCTGTGTCTGGGCCCCCGCGTTCTGCTGTGGTCGGAGCTCCCGTGCTCTGAATACCTTGTGTTCCCTCCTCTGTTGCGGCCGGTGTTCTGCTGTGGCCTGAGCTCTGTGTTCCTTGCTGTGCGGCGACCCGGGCCGCCGTGTTCTGTGGTCGGAGCTGGTGTGTCCGCACTCCCGGTGCGCCACGCTCTGGAGCGGGCTGCCAGCGCGCCTGCTGTGCTGTGACCCATGCGCCGTCGGCAGCGCCGGGCGCCGGCCGCGCCGCCCTAGTGCGCCGCGCCGACACCCAGCCGATGGTGGACCTGCTCTCGCTGCCGCCGCCCGCCAACAGAGGTCAGTCGCCGCGGCGGCCGGGGCGCGGCGCCTGGCTGCGCGGCCGGCGGACGCGGCGCTGGGGTTAGGGGGTCCTGTCCTGCTGGGGTCCGGCGGTCCCGACCCGAACTTAACGGGACTACGACCACTCACACGGCCGATCACGACACATGGCGGATTGAGCGAAGTGAACCCATGAACCTGGGCCGGAGCGTCGTGACGGCACGCTCCCAAGCGGCTGTTGCACGCGCCATTATCATGGTGTACAGCTGGCCGGTAGGCGCGGCCAGTGCGGGATGTTGAGCCGGGTCGCGGCCTTTCCAGACGGTGTCAGGACGTGGTCGACGCTGGCGAGGGCGCCGGACGCGACCAGCCGGCAAAACTCGACCGAGCCGGCCGCTGGGTGAGTGATCTGGCGATGTCGTGACGCCATGTCTGTGGCGGCGCGAACACGACGGGGCGACGTGGCCTGCTACAGTGGTTGCACTCGGCCAAGCTCTGGGGTTTGATGTCTTCGGTGTTTCGCATAGGCTGGCTGATACGAGTTGGATAGGCCGCCTAGCTGAACGTCGTTATCCGGTCCCTGTGCGCTGACGTGAACGTGGCGGTCCTAGCACGTGCTGTGCGCCGGCAGGGTCTCGCTGCTGTCGACGGTGGACATGTTTGAAGACGGCAACGCCAACATGCCGCTGGACGTGGTATCCGATGATGACGAACGGCCCTGCACGCCTCAGGCGAGGCCGGCGAGGCGGCGCCGGCGGCTCGTGTTCTCGGGTGAGCCGCGTCCGCCACGCTTTGGCGTCTGACCAGGAGTGGGTGACGGGCGTCATTAGTTCACTCTCGTCCTAAACTCTCCATTTTGGAGGCGAGAACGTTGTCAAACTGGGTCTGGGGATCTAGCCCGCCGAACTCTCGACGGTGATGTTCACAATGCTCGCCTAGTTGCCCCCCCCCCCCCCCCCACCCCACCCTGTTTCTTCGTATGCTGAGCCCGGATAGCAATATTCCGTCGAGCTCTTGACATCCCTGGGTGGGGTTTGGTGCTGGCCAGGTGTTCGTTTGAACTGAGGTGTGCGGTTGGCCCTGTCCAGACAAGCGATGCTCTGGTGCTGCTGTCAGCCTTCATGTGGGACATGCCGGCAGGCTGCTCGGTATAGTCCCGCTGGCGTGACTCGAGGGGAAGCATGAGCTGATCTACGATCATGATAAGTCCCCGCTCTCAGCCTTGGTGTGTGTTGAACATTGTGCGGTATACCCCATCGGTACACACTTCAATGCTCGTATGCTCTGTGAGTCTCCGTCTCGCTGCTGTCTGTCCGCCCCCCCCCCCCCCCCCCCCCCCCGATGGGCCAGGAGAGTTCCCCCATCGGGGCGCCCCAGGCTGAACCAGCGCCCGGCGTGCCGCTGGGTTGGTGTGGCACCGCCTGACGGCCTTCCTCTGCCGACAGATGACGAGGCCAGCGGGGACGAGAGGTCGGAGGGGGCCAGCTCAGACGCCGAGCACGCCGACGACAGCCGCGGCGAGCCGGTCAGTCGGCCCCTGGGGCGCGCCGACGATCCCTGCCTGCCTACGGACTTCACCGGCTTCCTTGACAAGGACCAGAGGAGGTGAGGCGGCCTCGCGCTCGGCTCGCGTCCGGGCGCCGGCTGCCGAGACAGAGTACGCCCCATTTGCTGGGGGCGAGCTGGCGCCGCACCAAGATGGGTTAGCAAAAGTACTTTCGAGTGCCCGGAGAGCCAGTTAGCTGGAAATCTCCGTTGAGAGACTTCTCGGTGGTGATGATGCGTCTAATGCGTACATGAGTGGCTTCACCCGCCTAAATCTCCAGGTTGTTTGGTGGCGAGAAACCCCGCGCCCCTCTTTGGTTATTTGCAGGAAGTTGTGCCGCATGGCGTAACGTCGTGGATGGACACTGCAAGTGAGGCTTGCGCCGGTTTTCTTCATTATCCGGTCGCTTCGGCCCGTCACGTCGAGTCAATATAGCGGCATCAAATTATCCTCGTAAGGCCGCTTTTGATTGTTATTGCACGACACACGTGCTGGCGAGCTCGATCTGGTCATCCGGTGTGGGCCCATCTGATCTGCTCGTCTTGTCCAGTCCTACGCTCTGAGTGCTAATGCTGGGAGCGGCGGTGCCTGTATTCCTGCCGGCGCCTGGCTGGCACCGGCTGTGTGCGGCATCGGTGCACGTGGCATGCCGCGTGCCTCCGATCAACGGGCGTACCGCTCAGGGCCCGGGCCGAGTTTCTGGACGCCGAGGCGGAGCTGTCCGGCTCGGACGAGCCGTCCGAGGACGAAGCCGACGGCGACGAGCTGGACTGCATGGACGAGGAGGAGGCTGACAACGAGCAGTTGGACGAGGACAAGCTCCGAGAACAGGTCAGAGCTGGGGACCCGGGTGGAGGCGAGCTGATCGAGGCGCCGCGAGCACGTGTCGCGGGCTCGGGCCACTGCGAGCACGTTCCGCGGGCTCGGACCACTACGAGCACGTGTCGCGGGCTCGGGCC